ATATATATATATATATATATATATATAAACATAATACAGGAAAAAAAATCAAATATAAAAACGAAAAAACTAAGTTAAATAGTGGATCTAGATGAAGTAAAATTTAATTTCTAATAAATCATGTAATAAAGATCAGGAAAAAAAGATAGATGACTGAATAAAAATAAATATTTTTGTCTTTTTTTTTCTACAGGTCATAACAGCCCCAGAGGATGAAGAGCAGGACGACATGCCAGAGGATGAGGAGTGGGAGAACGTGTAGGAGGCAGTCAGTGGTGCTCCATGGAGGGACCAGCTGTCTGCCGAGGTGTCTGCCCTGGAGGAGGGTCTACCTGACCACCGTTACATTTAGATGGCAAGTAGAATCACATTTTAGCTGTTCTCATTTCAGGGTTATAAAAACAGTTTTAGTAAAGTCATTATTTTCTCTGTCTTTTTGAACATTTTTAGTAACATGGCAGCCATCGATTGGATCAGCAGTGGAGAGAGGCAACCCCCACCCCCCAGATGATGTCCCACTCGCAGTCAGAAGACTCCAAGCTCATCTGTGTGGCATCCCATCCAGTCCAGCAGCACCACCAGGGACTCCTGCTCAGTGACAATTGTATATATATATGTTCTTTAGTAATATTTACTGTATATCTTCTGTAAATAGTTGTAGTAGTTAATTTTAAAATCTAATGTCAATAGTTAAAAATGTTTAATAGTTTATTGTAAATACTTGCTTCTCTAAAAATAAACTGATGTCACTGAGAAGTTGTTCTAAGTTTGCTTAAATTACAAAGAAGTGATTAAACAGATCGTGTAAAAAGGTTAAAAGACTTTAAGAACACACCGACAACAATAACTTTTATAAACAATTTAATAATTTAATTTAATAACAGCAACACAGAACTTCAACTTGTTAAAAAAAAAAACACCAAAAAAAATAACATCTGTCCACCATCCTCTCCAATAACTGAAATAATCTGTCCATCCTTTCCCGCCTCCCTCTGCCATCTCATCTCCTCCCTGATTAAATCCACCAACTCGTCACTCCTTATTCTCTTCCTCCTTTCCCTCCTCTCTCATCCTCATTCTCTTCCTCATCTTCACCCTGTGCTGCTCAGCCTCTGCAGCACCTGGCCCTGGTGTGTCCTCAGGGATGGAGGCAATTAGGACAGGTGGGGTAATAGAGGGCAAACCAGGGCCAGGTGGCAGCAGTAGGCTTCCCACTTCCCTGGATCTTTGCTTTTCTAAAGTAGAGGAAAACTATTTTTATTATTATTTTTATCAACAGATGCTATTTTCTGTAGTGTTTCTTTAAAGCTAGAAAAAAGGAAGGTTTCATGATTTGGATGGATTAATGAAATTCTACAGAAAAAGACTTTGGAATGGTAACCTGGAGATTAGTTTTTTCAAGCTTACTCAAAGTGGAAATTAACATGAATATAATAAATGAAAGATGTAATTTCCCTACACACACATACATGCATTATATTTTATATATATATATATATATATAGGTGTGTGTGTGTTTCATTACATTATCCAAACCTGAACATACTTTGTATTTTTTTTTTAAGTTGTCCCACACAAGGATCACTTCTATCACAAATATGAGATTTACAAAAAGTGGCATCTGAGCATCATTTGATGTGATCAAAAGATTATATTTGTACGTTGGTGTTTGAACAGGACTTCTTTTAACTTGTGTGACTTTTACATAGAAATGCAACATGTAGATGGAATTCTGCCTCAACTCTTCCCTCCATCCGACTGCAGCAGTATTTTTGGCCCCGATGATGAAGTGGTCATTTTATCCACTCCTCTGTCTGCTCCCTGGAACAAAATTACATGTAAAGCATATTTCTGTTAAGTCAACAGGCAGAATAACTGTTCTGTATAATTATGCCTGTATTGTTCTTCAAGCGAATTATATTTTAAACCTTATTATACTGTACTGTAAATAAACTATAGGTTATTGAGTATTAAAACAAAACGTTTGCAGTATTAACAGCCCAGTACAGCTGGACTTTCTTCAGATGCATTAAGCTTTAACAGTTCTAATACTTTGTAATAAACAGTTTGAGAATAAATAGATCTGATTAGAGAGGGATACGGCTATCAGTACAGTAAGATGTAGGTTAAAATAAAAAATAGTGACATTTGTATGAAGGCTTTTAATTGTTGATGAACATCACGTATCAACAGGTTAGCTCTTAGCTTTAGCTGCTCCTACACATCCCGGTGGCTCCTTTACCGTCACGTATTTTAATAGATGTTCATAAAAAAAACAAAAAAAAAACTACTTACATTTAAAGGTGTTCTCCGCACTACTGTCGGCGCTGCTGCTGCTTTCGGTTGTCCGTAACTTGAAGAAAATCCGACTTTCTTCTTCTTCTTCTTCAACTACTTAAAAAAAAAAAAAAGAAGCGCGCAAAGCACCTCGGGAAATCTAGTGGGAGGCGAGGCCACTAAGGACGGTAGCGATGCATCCTCAGAATTCGGGGAAAAGGAGGACGCATTTTAAGGCTGCATTTTAAGCGTCCTCAGAATTTTTGCCAAATGGGACGGCCTCCGCGCAGCGTTGTGACGTCACCGGCCTCAAAATGCGTACTACCAAGTACGCAGCCTGCGAATTGAGACGCAGCCCTTGTCTCAAGTGGAGGAGTTCAAGTATCTCGGGGTCTTGTTCACGGGTGAGGGATAGATGGAGCGTGAGATCGATAGATGGATCAGTGCGGCGTCAGCAGTAATGCAGTCACTGTATCAAACTGTCGTGGTGAAGAGGGAGCCAAGTCAGGTGGCAAAGCTCTCGATTTACTGATCAAACTACGTTCCCACCCTCACCTATGGTAATAAAATCTGGGTAATGACTGTAAGGACAAGTTTGTGAATACAGGCGGCCAAAATTAGTTTCTTTCACAGGGAGGCTGGGTGCACCCTTCGAGATCAGGTAAGGAGCTCAGTTATCCGGGAGAGGATCGGAGTAGAGTCGTTGCTCCTCCACTTCGGAATGAGCCAGGGGGTAATTCTTGGCACAACAGAGGAAACCCGGAGGAGAGTATCGAAGGTTTGAAAAATGCATTTTAATTAAGCAATTTAAGACACATGTTAAGATTGTTATCTTGAAAGAACTGCCAAATGTGATGTAAATGGCCAGTGGTCATAAATGAATTGAATGACTTGCAGAATGCCTGTTGTCCAATCAATGGTAAATAGCTTAGTTTGACAGACCTGTTAGAATAGTTTTAACCCATTCATTGCCAGCATGTAGCCAAGCTTACTTTTAATTAGCCAATAGATGCAATACTGATTTTCTAAAAAAAAAAAATCAATTTTATAAAATAAATACTCTAAATGAATATTTGAAAGGTGAATAAAATGATTAGATTTTATATAAGCTTATTTCATTTTCAGGCTAATCCTAATGTATTTGAATTTGTGAGCAGTTTTTTCAGATTTTGAAAATTATTTCAAATGTTTCAATTTAAAGTATTAAATTTGAGTTAAAAAAAAACTTGACTTGAAAGGATTTAATTATTAATTTGCAATATTTTGTGAGGTTTTGTTACAAATCTTAATAGATTCATTGCCAAAAGATTTTCCAAAGTAAAATGAAAGAAGTGTCCTACCATGACTATGAAGCTGATCCCAGCGGAAAATAGTCCCTTATTATGTAGGGCCGGTCCAGGGACTGACTACAGTTCTACTGAAAGGTGCCTTGATAGAGGTCAATGACCAGCGTACCTAACATGTAACAACCATAGCATGCATATTGTTTTAGGTTAATAGAATATAATAATCACCCTACGTATGCTTAGAAAAAAATTTACACCATCCCCCCTTTTATTTTTTTTAAAGCTCTACTACTGATTACACATATAATTCAATTCAATCCAGTTTATTTATATAGCGCCAATTCACAACATATGTCATCTCAAAGCAATTTAAAGTACACCAGATCATACAGTCAATTGATCTGTTTTCTATCTAAGGAAGTTTTCTATCTAAGGAAAACCAGCTGATTGCATCGACTCATTGGCTCGAATGCAATCCCTCACACTAAGCATGTTTGTAGCGACAGTGGAAAGGAAAAACTCCGCTTTAACAGGAAGAAACCTCCAGCAGAACCAGACTAAGTGTGAGTGGCCATCTGCTGAGGCCGACTGAGGTTCAAGGAGACAGAAGCAGAGATACAAAAAGTAGCTGTAAAAGACGGCCCCGTCCAGGAAACACACAGCCAGGCAGACGAGCTCCAAGCCAACTCCCACGTCAGAGGATGAAGAGAGCACATCCAGCCAGTCACAGTCAGAGAACAGGAATACACTGGAAAAACAGGATTATCTGCAACATCTATAAACAAATGTGTTGATGGCAGCAGCACAGCTGATATTTCTCTCCAGGATGGTGTCACAGCTAAACAGGAACAGACAAAGCGAAACTACTATGAGAAAAAGCAGAGAGAGCATATCACATTAGTTTTCCATCTGAAGCTAGCTAAATATTTAGCTATTTATTTTACTTTGTTAAATAAATAGTTAGTTTGTTGAATAAATATTTATCTTAGACCTAAATATTTAACAAACTAAATATTTAATTTGGAGCTAAATATTAATTTAACAAAGTAAGATTTTTATAAATGAATGAATGACAGCGAAAAAAATGACTTGGGAAAAAAAACAACCTTATTTATCTCTTAAAATAAACTAAATAACCATTAATATCATTCCTACTTTTTGACTTCTTAATTTTATAAACGGCACCCCATGGTATTATATTTCTACTAGTGTCTTAAACGAACTGATAAAAAAAAGTACATTAGTGTATAAAAAGTACCATATGGTCTCTCCTCTTCCCATGGTGCTGTTTCACCGAGGGAAAAAAATAAATAAATAAATGAATAAATAAAGGTTTAAATTAAAATAAAATTTGTAGGCATTCCATTGCCTTTTTGTTCGTATTGAAAACTACAAAGGTAATGGAGTCTGCTTTGACGTTGCGAGACTTTTCGAGCCCTTTTTTCGCGCAGTGGCTGATGGGAGGAAAGATCAAGAATCGGTGGTTACGGAAGCCTCGCTCTGGCTTTTTCTAGGACCATTATCCTTTTAGATAACTAAAACCTTAAATTACATCTATTATAGTTGATAAACATAACTGAATGTTTGTTCCAGTTAAAGGACCCAGATCCCGCTGCGCTCTGGTTCTCTGTCTGGTTACCTAACGCTGCTCGCTTTTAGCTGCATTGTTATTGTTTCTGCTCTCTGAGGGGCCCCCAGCTGGAACGGGGTCCTGAGGGATGGTTTCTCATCGGGTTCGGGGAAATGGATGAGAGATCCAACAGCTCCTACCAGCGGCTCTCGGTTTTCCTGTTAATGCTGCTGGTTTTTGGGGTGTTTACCATCCAGTATGCCTGTCCCAGCAGCTCAGAATGCCAAATGCTCCAGCAGCTGGGGGATTGGTTCTCCCTCGGAAGCAGAACCGGGCCCCGAATCGGCGATAGTGAATCCCCCGATGGGCTCCAGAAGGACCCCTACGTCGCAGAAGACGGCGCTTTGGCCCGATTTGTCCCTCGCTTCAACTTCAGCAAAGCGGACCTAAATCGCGCCGTGGACTTTAACATCAAAGGGGATGATGTTATAGTGTTTCTGCACATCCAGAAGACTGGAGGCACAACTTTTGGACGACATCTGGTGCGTAATATTCAGCTGGAGAGGCCCTGTGAGTGCCATGCGGGCCAGAAGAAGTGCACCTGCCTCCGGCCCGGTAAAAAGGAGACCTGGCTCTTCTCTCGGTTCTCCACCGGCTGGAGCTGCGGGCTTCATGCAGACTGGACTGAGCTGACCAGCTGTGTGCCATCACGCATGGACTCCAGAGAGGCCCCGAAAAACCAGCCCAGGTTGGTAGGAAATGACAAGGGGGGACATTAAATGATCCAGATCATTTAAAAAGACAGTTTATCTTCAAAAGTCGTTCATATGGTTTTGATGCAGGATTTCTGAAGATCTTTCATATAAAATATGACATTTTTCTACAATTATCAGTTCCCTTTGTTAACATCAAAAATACACCAAAAAAAAATCATTTTAATTGCACTGACAGACAAAGGTAAGGCAAAGCAAGGCAAGGCAAATTTCTTTGTATAGCACAAAAGACAATGCAGAGTTCTTTACATGATTAAAATATAGGAAAATAAAACAGAATCAAAGCAAATAGGATGAAAAAATAGTGAAAAATGCTGAAACAAGAAAGAACATTAAAAACTGTTCGACTAAAGAACAAAAAAATTAACTAATGATGTTTCAGTTGAACTTATACGAGTATGCGAGTTTGGAAAGATAAACGCGGAAAGACTGAAAAGAGATATGAAACTAGAAGAAAGTACTATAAGGGATATAAATATTTATTTACATGTGTACAGAGACTATGTATGTACACTGTGTGCAGAATTATTAGGCAAATTAGTATTTCGACCACTTCATCCTTTTCATCCATGTTGTCCTACTCCGAGCTGTATAGGCTTGAAAGCCAACTACCAATTAAGTAAATCAGGTGGTGTACATCTCTGTAAAAAGAAGGGGTGTGGCCTAATGACATCAACACCCTATATAAGGTGTGCTTCATTATTAGGCAACTTCCTTTCCTTTGGCAATATGGGTCAGAAAAGAGATTTGACAGATTCTGAAAAGTCAGATGTCTTTCAGAGAGGTGCAGCAGTTTGGAAATTGCCAAGCTTTTGAAGAGGGATCATCGCACAATCAAGCGGTTCATGGTGAATAGCCAACAGGGGCGCAAGAAGTGTGTTGAGAAAAGAAGACGTAAAATAACCCCCCATGAGTTGAGAAGGATCAAGCATGAAGCTGTCAGGAAGCCATTAGGCACCAGTTGTTCCATATTTCAGAGCTGCAACATGTCTGGAGTGCCGAGAAGCACAAGGTGCTCAATACTTAGGGACCTGGCCAAGGTAAGGAAAGCAGAAAAGGGCACACATGACAAAACGTCAAGATTGGGCCAAGGAATATCTGAAGACTGATTTCTCCAAGGAGTTTTGGTCTGATGAAATGAGAGTGAGTCTTGATGGGCCAGATGGATGGATGGGCATCAGGCTGGATCAGTAAAGGGCAGCAGGTTCCTTATCGACTCAGACGCCAGCAAGGTGGAGGTGGGGTACTGGTATGGGCTGGGATCATCAAAGATGAGCTTCACCTGATCTGAACCCCATGGAGAACCTGTGGTCCTTCATGAAATGTGAGATCTACAGGGAGGGTAAACAGTCCACCTCTCTGAACAGTGTCTGAGAGGCTGTGGTGGCAAACAGATCAAGACACTGACAGAATCTATGGATGGAAGGCTTTTAACCGACATGGTGAAGAAAGGTGGCTACATTGGTCACTGAATTGTTTAAATATGAAACTTTAATATTGTAGGAGTCTTTTGGGTTGATTGAGAACACAATTGTTGCCCAATAATAAAAATAATCCTCAATAATACAACTTGCCTAATAATTCTGCACACAGTGTATTGACATGCTATAAATGGTAAGCAGAGAGTAATTGTAAGAGGCTATAAAATAAATAAATATGGAAGCTTCTATATTTAAAAAGTGAACAAATTGAGGATAGAAGACAGGACTGAGGGAAGGAGGATGCAAGAGAAATGGGAAAAGCAACAAGGATGCAACCAAGGAAGGGAGGAGAGTTGGGATGAAACTATTATGGGAAAAAAAAGGAAAATGTACAAAGAGAGAGTTTCAGAGGGACAAAAAGAAAGGTCATGGATCAGGAAGGAAGGCTACAAAGAAAATGGGAAGGAGGGTTTAAGTAATTTGAAGAGTAAATATGTTTGATATTATTGTTTTCAGCACCTCCTTATTTACAGGTCATTCTTTTGTGATATGGGAAAACAAATATTTTGACACGATGCCAAGGAGTCCCCTAACACTCCTTAATGGTCTGCTGGGATTTTTTTATTTCACATAAGGAGAAGTGTGGATAAAAGAAATCCAAGCATGGAATGTTTTCCTTCCAATTTCCAAAAATGATCTATCAAGGAGTAATTATTAGTCAATGGGCATCATGTAATCAGAGGAGCATGGTAGGAATTCACTGAATAAATGAACCATCCTTACAGTTTGTTCTTAAATTCAAAGCAATGTTGAACTCCGTTACACCAGAGGTCTTCAACAGGGAGTCCACAGAGGTACTACATTTATTTTCCACTAATTGAAATGTCTTTAAATAAACATTAACATGAATTCAACACACTGTAGTAAACAGATAAATGGAGGCAGAAGACATTCAGTCATCAATGCACCATTCACAGCGCCTGATGCATCAACAAGAAATCAGAAATACTTTAATAATCCCAGGGAGAAATTACTTTCATTACATTAATCCAACTGTAATAGAGTGACTATAGGACCAGTTTCATATTACACAATTTTATACTATATATATATATATATATATATATATATATATATAAAATAAAATTAAGGGGTCCCCGCTCTATCTCGCCATCAGTTTGGGGGTCCTTGGCCTGGAAAACGTTGAAGATTCCTGTGTTATATAGTAAGATAAACTGTTAAAGGAACATAATGACACTTAAATGTTGGTAGTTCTTTCTATTTAAAGGGGATAAAAGTAAAAAAAAAATTGTCTCTGTAAACAAGAAGAGTTTGGGAACAACTTGATTGTGTTTTTTTTGTCACTTTTTGACAGATCTGTTGTTTTATCTATCGTATGTCAATCAAAAATGGTTTGTTTTCTAATCATAGTCATAAGAGGAGATTTAAAGATTATCTATTTTGGTGTAAAAAGCTGCATTTCTTTTTTTTAGAAGGTATGGAGATTTAAATCAATGGCACTTTAAGTTGTAGGAAGAAACACTAAAGCAATGATGATGTATCCCTGTGATACAACTTCATTATTGTTCATTAAATGTTGCACTAACAGTTCTAAGATATGACTGCTACTTGAGCAGTTTTACAGCTAATAGTCTGCACTCAGATATGAAGACATCTAGAAATTTGAGTTTCAACATGTTGAAGTTTTAAAATAAAAAATGTCGGAAAGCTGATGCATAAATCCAAACGGTTGTAACAGAAATTTCCACATTACAAGAATCGCAAAAAAAATAATTTCTACTGTTCTGTGATTGAGATTAAATATGTTTTTTTCTTTCTTTCCAGCAGAAACTATTACTACATAACAATCTTGAGAGATCCAGTTTCCCGCTACCTGAGTGAGTGGCGTCACGTGCAACGCGGAGCTACTTGGAAGGCCTCCCTCCACGTGTGTGATGGACGGTCACCAACGCTGTCAGAGCTGCCAGGTTGTTATTCAGGAGACGACTGGTCGGGTTGCTCCCTGCAAGAGTTCATGGACTGCCCCTACAATCTGGCAAACAACCGACAGACCCGCATGTTGGCGGATCTAAGTCTGGTGGGGTGCTATAACGTCTCGGCCATGAGCGAGGACGAACGCTGGGCAGTGCTTCTAGACAGCGCTAAACACAATCTAAAAGGGATGGCCTTTTTCGGCTTAACCGAATACCAGCGTAAGACCCAGTACCTCTTTGAGAGGACCTTCAACTTGCAGTTCATCGCACCTTTCACGCAGCTGAACGGGACGCGTGCTTCCAGTGTCGAGGTGCCGCCTGAGACGCAGCAAAGAATTCGCCAGCTGAACCGATGGGACATGGAGCTGTATGACTATGCCCGTGACCTTTTCCTGCAGCGTTTCCAGGTGGTGAGACAGCAGGAGCGCAGGGAGGCCAGGGAGCGGCGACAACAGGAGAGGAGGCGGCTCCGTGGACGCTTTTCATCAAAACAAGAGAGGCGGTTGAAGCCAACTGAAGCGACGCCTTCGACCAGCGCCGAAACACAGGATCGTCGGAGGGAGATGGCAGCGGAGGACAGCATGGAGTCAGAAGTGCTTCTCCCAGACTGGTGGGATGTTGATGAGAATAGCACCATGGAGGACTACATAGGAAATGTGGAACAGTGGTAGCAGCAGGCTGCCTTTATAGGACGTGTACCAAGAATTGCCTTGTCAATTGTTGCTAATTCAGGTTACTTTTAATATATGCCTTCGTTTGGCCTTTTGTTGTTTTAAATGTGAATTTAATTTATTTAAACTGCACTTTTTTTCTCAGAACTGACATTCTGTTTGGATCCTTTCACATAAGTAGAACAAAAGACAGGAATGTTTTATATTGTTTTAGATGAGTCCAGTCTCTAGTAGGATTTTTTTTTTCATGTATTTCATTGGAAATTAAGTGATGCACCTTGGAAGAACATGCCTTTTTTCTTTTTTTAACACACTACATTTATGTGACCAACAATTTTTACATTTGCCAAACTGCTGTCTTCATTATTATGTACTTTTTCCTGTTTTTGTTTTTTCTTAACAGCGAAAAAAATGAACATTTTTGATAGTACCTCAATTTTCGGCATTGCCTGCTCATGTTGATCAAATATTGGAGTTTGTGTTTTTTATTTATTTTAATATAAATTAAGCTTTAATATTCATCAAACTGCTGCTGTATTCTTGCCATAATTGCATGCCTTCATAAGTTTTTTCTGTAGTTGTAATCCTGGGATTACCCAGCAGGGGGCGTTAAAGTACCTTTAATGTCGGTGGTACATAGACTGTAGAGCTGGACTTGAATCGCATAAGATTTAGCAAATTTGGATAAATAGTATTCTGCTTCCTTGACTATTTAAAAGGATTTATGAAAGTTTATATCAGTCACAGATTTTCCACTATAATAATTTTTAAAAAAGTGTAGCTTAATCACTCAACCTACATTCATATTCATTAAATTGGAAAATTGTTGAACTGAGTATTTTTATTTAATTTTCTGCTCATAGTTAATAAAAAACAGACCATTTATGATTACATGACATCAAAAATATGGAAACTTCAACTAATTCATACAGAAATGTGGGCTAAATAAGAAGAATATTTTTTAGCTGTTTACAGGCTGTTATTTTATTTAAAAAGATCTTAATTGGGGAAGACGCTGAACAGGTGGCCAGCCTCTTAAATGGAAGAGCAGAGACCCCAGGAAGGTCTGACTGGCCCTGCAACACTCACAGAAAAGAAAAAATGTTGGATAAGAAAGTTTAATTTCCTGTTTTAGATCTGTAGGCAAGATTTTTTTATTTTTTTTTATGCGGAAAAGGGCAGTTTGGTAATATGAGAAAAGCTGGAAGCGCTGCTATTGATCTGGGAAAAAAATGTGACTTTAAGCATTAAAATTTAACTTTAAAAGTTGACCTTGTGAAAAGAAGTATATAATTTCTGGGGGTTTAGATTTTTTTATCTGGTGAAGGTAAGTTTTATGCAGAGATGAAATGATCTACTGAAAACCAAATACAGAAAGAACAAAAAAAGTTGCAAGCTTGTCCACTAAATGCATGAATAGTCGGTAGATGTGGTGAATACCCACATTATTTATGATCAAATTAAGCATTTTTGTGTCCTCTTGATATTAGAAACACAAATGCACAGATTGCCAACAAATATTAATTTTATGAAAAGTTGAATGAGTTAATGCTCTTATGGCAGTATGTTTAGATATTGTTTAAGCTACTATCATCACTACTGAAAAACTAGTATAGATTTTTCAGAACCTAATTGTGAAAAGGCAGGATTAACAGCATATCAGTAAGCAAGCATTAAATAAAACAATGAAATCAATCAAAAGTTAAGAAGTAATTTATTTTGAAACATGAAAAGGGTTCATGCCGGTCATGTTCATGACGAAAAATGAAAAACAATTGCTTAAACTGACATTTCTTATGCTGGTTTGAAATGGGATGTCTCCGCTGCTGTAAAACAGCTACTTTCTGGCTAAATCTGCCATCCCGTTCAGAATATTTGTGCTTTTAACACAAATAAAACATTTGTGCTTTTAATTTTCTGATTTAGATGTAAATCTTTACATTTAAATCAGCAATATGTTTTCATGTAGCATTATAATGACAGTCAATGTTAGATCAAAACACATTTCATGTCAGTTTGGTTCAAATATGGGGATAAAAACACAATAGGCCTGCTAAAGCAATTAATACACAGCTGAAATTTGGATAATTTGAAATATATTAGTAAGGCTGAAACAATTAGTGGGATTATTGAAATAATCCTCAACTAATTTAGTAATTAATGGTTAACTGGAGTATAGAGACTGTAAAACATGCCTTTAGCTCACAGAGCAACTTAGAGCAGTATTTATATCAAAATGATAAAATATATATATACGCATTTTGCATCCAAAGATTTAAAAAGCACTAAACATGCTCTATCCAGTAATACTCAAGTTTAAACGTTTAAGTTTCACCTGGTTTAAATTTGTAAAAAGTCTTCTTTATGGAACCTTTGTCTATCCGATTATTAATCTAAAAAAATAATTGACAGATTAATCGATTTGCAAAATAATCATTAGCTGCAGCGTTATATATTAGCAACTGATCAGGGGCGGAGCTAGATGGGGGGCCAGAGGTGGCCTTGGCCACCCTTAGCCAATCATTGGCCACCCCTGTGGCCACCCCTACCATATTTTTCGCCCTCTAATACAGACGGTGGCAGCAGTATAATAATCAAGAGGAATGTTTAAACTTATTAAACATTTTAATTTTTCATATATTAATAGTTACTTGACAACTAAAAAGCTGTGGTTAGTTATGCACTTTAAAATACTAACTTTAAGTTGATATATAAAAAATTAATGCTCTTTTAAGACCCTAATTTTTTGTTATATGGGGTAAAGACAAAATTAGTTTTCAGTGAAATCATAGATAAATAACTACTTTAATAAAAACTTAAAAATCCATTTAATGTAGATATTAGTACATGTTATGCCGAACTATTTTTGATAAAAGTAGGTAAGTAATGACAATGGAAAAGACATTTTGTCCACTATACCTTTTATCTAGACAGCATGGATGCTTAAATATATGCATCTATTTGTAATCAAAAGGCTGTAGGAAAGTACTGTTTGTCTTTATTTAGAAAATATGGATGTTTTGCTCGTTCCTGTTGGAACAGTGTAGAGGGACCCAGGGGTGGAGCTAGATCGGGGGCCAGGGGTGGCCATGGCCACCCTTAGCCAATCATTGGCCACCCCTACCATTTTTTCCCCCCTCTAAAACAAACAGTGGCAGCAGTAATACTCTCAAGTGGAATATTCAAAACATTAAAAAAATTTTTTTAAATGTTCATGTACTAACAATTACTTGACAACAAAAACACTGTGATAGATTATGCACATTAAAATACTAACATTAAAGATGATAAGTACAGAAATCATGCTCTTCCCATAACCAAATTCTGTGTTTCGTGGGGTAAAGAATAAATGATGTCTCTGCAACTCATCTAGGAGTCTTCCGTGAAATCATAGATAAACTATTTTAATCTAATTTTAATTAAAAAAACGTATTAAATAATCAATTTATGTAGATATTAGTACTTGTAAATATCAGTTTTATCCAGAATAATTGTTGATAAAATTAGGTGAGTAATGAGAATTGAAAAGATGTCCACTACGACTTTTATCTAGGAAGCAAGGATGTTTAAATATATGTTTTATATATATATATATATATATATATATATATATATATATATATATATATATATATATATATATATATATATATATATATATATATATATATATATATATATATATATATATATATATATATAAGTATAGTTTCTCTTTATTAAGAAAATATGGATTTTTTTGCTTGTTAATTTTCCTCTTCCTGTCTGGAAGATGTAGATTGACCCTGAAGTTCAGGTTCTGGTGCCACTCCTCAGTGTACATTGTTTTTTTTACTGACCACCCCTATTGCTACCAATAACATGATCCATGGGGGTGAAAATGAACATATTGATGTGGTTGTTATGGGTTTCCAATCAGGATGCCAAAATCTGAAAAATTGAATTAATTGAAAATGAAAGAAAATTGTTACAAATGTTCAGTAATTATTTAAAGTCACATAAAACACATGAAGTGATTATTATTGCCTTGTTTTTAAAAGGCCTTTAACTTGTGTTTTTCATTTCTTCCAGCATAGAAACGGAGTCATCCCTCTACAGTTTGCCCAATTGTGTCGTGACCTGATCATACCTCATAAACAAACCCCTCTGCTGTCATCCAACTCCTCCCATTGGATAAAACCCTCCCTCTGGCTCTAATCTGTGATCTGCTGAGCGCAAATGTAGTTACAGCTGATGTTTCTGCTGCCGCTTCTGTCTGTTCCTCTGCAGCTGCTTCGCCTTTTCTACTCGCCCTGATTTTTATTTTTATTTTTATTTTATTTCTTGCCACTGCATTTTATTTCCTCCCCTCCTGCGCTTTAGTGCAGAGCTTTTACGCAGCCCTACAGATAAATAAGGAAGTCCTTGGCGGAAAATACCAAGCAAGCGTATTTCATTCGGCTTGGATTTGAAAAAAAGACATTTGATCCGGACTGATAACAGGTGAGCGTCCGGATGGGGTTGGTGTGTGGGGTAGAGGGGGGGCGCATGGTGACGTTGCAGCCTTTTAAACTCGCTTTGACGCATTTTTGCAAAGATCATCTGTTTTTGTTGTTTCTTTCTGCGTTTTGCGCGTCGCTCCTCCAACAAATCCCGCCTGTTGCATGCAGCCTACGTGCAAAAACTGGCTTTGGTTGTTAAAGATGGGCGTAATACAGGCAAATTAGTCATAACGCTCTTGCTTAACATGGACTGGAATGTCTTGGCTCATCTGTCTGGATACAAATGATGTGGTGACGAATTTCCATATTCCAGCCTGTATAAATAGGTTTGTTATATTATAAGCTACAACAGTCTGTCTTTTTAAATACTGTGTTAGGTTTTTTTGTTGTTTTGAGAGTTAAATGCATTTTGGCATCCTGTTATCCAGGGGCGGAGCTAGATGGGGGGCCAGGGATGGCCACCCCTAACCATTTTTTTCTCTCTAATACAGACAGTGGCAGCAGTAATAGTGGAATATTCAAAATATTAAAAATCTTCATGTATTAACAATTACTAGACAACAAAAACACTGTGGTTAATTATGTACATCAATATACTAACATTAAAGATAATAAATTCAGAATTCTTGCTTTTTTCAGAAATAGATTTTGTCTTATGCGGTACAGAGAAAATTATGCGTTTCTGCAAGTCATCTAGGAGTCTTCACTGGAATCACAGATAACCACTTTAATACAACCTTAATAAATATACATTTTATGCAGAATGAATATTTAAAAAAGGAGGTAGTAATGACAAGATGTTCGCGCCAGAACTCAAACCTGAAACATTTTTATCCACTATACCTTTATCTAGAAAGCACAGATGTTTAAATATATGCTTCAGTTTGTTTGGAAAGACTGTATGAAAGGATAGTTTGTCTTTATTTAGAAAATGTGGATGTTTTACTCATTCATTTTCCTGTTGGAACAGTGTAGATTTACCCAGAGGTTCTGGTGCCGATCCACTTTTGGCCACCCCTCAGTATACATTGGTTATTGGCTGGCCACCCTTATAAAAATGTTCTGGCTATGCCGCTGCTGTTATCAGATGTCGGCTATTAAGGCTATTACAGCAGTGTAAACTGTAGATTATCTGCTTGTTATTTAGAAGCTTTTATATAGGATTTCAATGTAAGTGTCTCTTAATACAATAAGTAGGAGATTCTAGGAGTCTTGTCCTTTTTTGACCTAAAGGGGTCAGACTTTTAAACCACCATGATATTCTTTGTTGTCATTAGCGGTTTGCATAGGCTGTATGCAATCTTGCTGGATGCGCTGTCCTTTATCTTGTCTGCTTTAACAAAACAGCCAGTCAAGACAAGTTCACACTCCCCTCCCGGCTGTGGACTCTGTACCTGTCTGGCTAGTTTTTCTTTACTTAATATAAACAGAGATAAACTGACAAACCATGCTCACACTGACAGGAGTGCATGCAGTCACCTTTCCCACACAACCAGTTTTGTTTTCTCTTCTCACAATAGCACACAGTATGGAAGAGGATAAGGGCCACTGAAAAAATTAAAAGAGTTAACTGATTTTTTTAATTTTATTTCAGTATAATATGAGGAAAAAGTCAGAATTCTGACTTTAATCTCAGAATTCTGACTTTTTTCTCAGAATTCTGACTTAATTCTAACAGCTAACAAACATGTTAGCATCAAGCTCTAGCCATGTTTGTTTTAAAGACTAAACTAGCTATCTTGTTTCAATCACCTTCTGCTCTTCCATTAATGAAATAGCATCACCAGGTACCCCTCAGACATGTAAAAAGTCGCCTAATTCCATCATTTTCCACCAATGTGCTCCCACATCTCTTTCTTAATGCCCATCTACATTAAGATCCAAAATTCTGAGATTAGAGTCAGAATTCTTATAAAAAAAAGTCAGAATTCTGAGATTAAAGTCAGAATTCTAAGATTAAAGTCATAATTCTGAGATTAAAGTGAGAATTCTGAGATTAAAGTCAGAATTCTAAGATTAAAGTCATAATTCTGAGAAAAAAGTCATAATTCTGAGATTAAATTCAGAATTCTAAGATTAAAGTCAGAATTCTGAGGAAAAAAAAGTCAGAATTCTGAGATTAAAGTCAGAATCCTAAGATTAAAGTCAGAATTCCGAGAAAAAAAGTAAGAATTCTGAGATTAAAGTCATAATTTTGAGATTAAAGTGAGAATTCTAAGATTAAAGTCAGAATTCTGAGGAAAAAAAAGTCAGAATTCTGAGAATAAAGTCAGAATCCTAAGATTAAAGTCAGAATTCCGAGAAAAAAAGTAAGAATTCTGAGATTAAAGTCAGAATCCTAAGATTAAAGTCAGAATTCCGAGAAAAAAAGTAAGAATTCTGAGATTAAAGTCAGAATTCTGAGATTAAAGTCATAATTCTGAGATTAAAATCAGAATTCTGAGGGAAAAATGTAAAAATTCTGAGAAAAAAGACAGAATTTTGAGATTAAAGGAATAGTACACCCAAAACATGATTAGCCTTCATTTTCTACTCACCCCCATGCTGAAAAACACTCTGGAGTACTTTTTTGATATCTCAAATGCATCTGGAGATCTGGGAGGCTTCTTGCTGTCTGCTGACATTCAAATAATGGAGGTGCCCAGTGCCCGAGGCAGAAAGGTCCATAAAAGTCCACAAAAACGTTTCAATATTCCTCCATACTGCTCGTCCAATGTATTCCAAGTTTCCTGAGTGGGTAGCATCCAGAATTTACTCGAAACGAAGTCATTTAGAATGTTTTTAGAGCATAAACAGTAGTGTATAGGATTTCCTGAAAGCGCGCACATGCGCGATCACGACGCTACGGAAGCCGGCAGACCAAACCAGCGCATTCAGCTCGGCAAAGAACTCATGCTCTTCCTCAACACTGAAGTCCTCAGACATTTTTCTTTCGTTGTTTCTTTCTTTGCACAGGTAAACGGCACATTTCTTCTTCTACGCTTGCATTATTGGCAGAGCAGACGCTGAATGCGCACTTTCATCTGGTTTGGTCTGCCGGCTTCCATAGCGTCGGGATCGCGCATGTGCGCGCTTTCCGGAAATCCTATACACTACTGTTTATGCTCTAAAAACATTCTAAATGACTTTGTTTCGAGTAAATTCTGGATGCTACCCACTCAGGACACTTGGAATACATTGGACGAGCAGTATGGAGGAATATTGACACGTTTTTTGTGGACTTTTATGGACCTTTCTGTCTCGGGCACCATAGACCTCCATTATTTGAATGTCAGCAGACAGCAAGAAGCCTCCCAGATCTCCAGATGCATTTGAGATATCAAAAAAGTACTCCAGAGTTTTGTTCAGCATGGGGGTGAGTAGAAAATGAAGGCTAATCATGTTTTGGGTGTACTATTCCTTTAAAGTCATAATTCTGACTTTTTCCCATTTTAAACTGAAATAATATTTAAAAATCAGTTAACTTTTTTACATTCCCAATGGCCCTAATCCTCTTCTGTAACACAGTCATATAAAGTTTCTTATTATTTGATATCATGCTTTTTATTTATTTTAATGTTCTTTTTTCTCAAGTGAGCAGATCAATTTATGAAGGGAATATGAATATTTAAACAAATATGTGCAACCCAAGAGTAAAAAAAATATTTTATTCATATTACTTAATTGACTTAGCAGCATTTGAGGAATTACCTTTTATTTAGGTGATGCTGGTCTGTTGTGTGATTTGGAGCTGTGGTGCTTTTAACGAGCTGAAAGGATTACTAATACTTAACCTAATTACTTTGCTCCCTCCCTTTAAGCTGTTTGCTTTTTCGCACACTTTGATTTATAGATTGTTTTCTTACGCCTTTTAAATAAATTAGCTTGTTGCCTATATTGGTTGGGCTGTTTTTGCCCTCATCCCTAAAAAAAAGTTGTTGAGTTAGCGAGCAGTAACCTGAATAATAATCCTGAGATGAAATGTTTTCACAGCAATCTGTGCCTCTAAAAGTGGAAATCACCAAACTTTTGGGAATGAGGTTACTCCACTCTGAATAAAAAGTCCCAAGGGGAACTCATCTCCTTATGTGAAACCAAAAGGAGTTATTAATAATAAAATAAAAAATCCCTGGTATTCTGGGAGTCAAGAGTTTGATTGAAGCCGTTTACAGTAACTGGAATAAATGTTTGTTAAAAGTGGTGACATTTTGGCAAATACTTTTACATTCCTTTGTGCAACAGTTTCATGCCTTTTTAATTCCCACTGAAAAGCTTCTTTTCGTGCTTTGCAGTTGATGGGGCTTTGAAAAAGTATCCTTGTACCTTTAACCTTTTTTTGCATTTGTGTGACCTTACAGACCGTAAACTTTATTATGATTTTGGGGGATTTTTAGACCAAGTCAAATTAGTGTATGACTGCAAATTTGAAGGGGAAATTGTACAAAATATTTTATTTTACAAATATTAATCCCTAAATTTGTATTAAGCTTCCCTGAGTTTTCTCTGGTTCAGGGAACCAGCTGCACTTACATCTTTAAGTTCTGAGGTATTCTTAGACATTTTGAAACTGTGTTTTTTGTTGTTTTTATACCCATTTTTATTTAAGAGGATTTGGTTTTGGTCTCAATTCAAATACATCCACAAGTTTTTACATTTCTATTCATAGAGGCATGAATAGTTTTGCAAATCACAATATCTTAGCACCTTCTTATTAATCTATCTTATTAATGAGAATATTCAATAAATAAATTGTTTTATAAATTGTTTAGTCAGAAGCTATCTTTGTTGTTTTTTCCTCAGCTGTGTTGCTGTTGAAGTTAGGCAAGTCTAACTGCATCTTTATTAAGTAAGTAAATTACTTTCACAAAGTCACAACGTGTTTAATGTAAAGAGCAGGCATAGAAGCAAAGAAGACAAACATTGAGGGGAAAAAACAAATACAGTATACCTAATTAACCTGTATCCTAATAGTTATAATATTACATAGATACTTGACATGTTTCAAAAGCTTTAGAAACATTTTTGACAAAATTGAACAAGCACATTTTTCGAATGATGAGCTCTTTGTAGGGAAAAGTATTTTGAATAAATTGAATTTACTTTGTGACAAAACAAATTTGCAGCATTAGCCCGACAACAGTCATGAAGGGACAATGCAGGATATTTCTATTCTAAATATCAGCACGACAGATAAAAACACAGGACAACAAAGAGCCTATTTTCATTGTGGTCCTCCAAATACCCAACACAAACATGCAGCATATTGCCAATATAAACCATAGATTGTTGCAAGAAATTTTGCAGAAGATAAAAACTGAGAGAAATATGACAACCAGCACAGTTTAATGTTTCTCTGTGCCTTTCTGTGGTTCTCCAGGTTTGCTCTGCCTGTTTAGGTGGCACCCAGTCTGCATCGCAGCCATAATGCAGACATCAGAGCTTAGCTGAAGGTTACACTGTTGGAAGCCCTTTGGTGTGCAGTGTTTGATGAAGGACGCAGTACAGATATGTCAGCTACTATGGCTTTCATCTGTCCACCTTGTGCCACTCCAGCCAAGTTCCAAAAAAACACCTTATTCAGCTTTACCACAGGCACCTGGTTGGAGCTTAAAGACTATTAGAGCTTTCATATGCTATATTTAGTAATTTATATTAAGTAAAATGCAGCAAAAACCTGGATAAACTGTCTAAATCGGGCGTGTCCAATGTGCGGCCTGAGGGCCATTTGTTGCCCTCATGATGATGTTGTGTGGTCCTCAAACATAATTTAAGAGTGGTATGATTTCTGTTTATGAACTTAGTCTAAAAGAAAATGTTAGTGTAATTTTTAAAGATGAAAAAATCCCAATGAAATGTTCAAAGGTCAGTCAAAAAAGTAAGGCACAACACACAGTATTTATTTCTTATCAGCCATTTTCTTTTTGTAAATAAAGATTCTTCCCAACTTATTCTATCTGAAAACACTGTACTAGGGCTGAAACAATGGGATTATTTGATATTAATCGATTATTAAAATAATCATTAACTAATTTATTCTATTTATTAATTCATCGTTAAAGGTATTGTGGAGGATTTCTTTAAAGACCCACCCTCTCACTTAAAAAAATAAATTCCCATGCAAGAGCATGCACAAACCCATTTGTCCTCTTGCACGCCTTGTTTAAAATGTGCTGTTCTCATAGCTCATACAAGCTTACTGTGGGCAAATACAGCAGGGACTCTTTAGTGGACTTTATAGCAAACTCAGATAACTGACCGTTTAGACAGATGATCACTACTTTTTTTTCTCTCTTGGTCACGTAACTCCTCCTCCACTGTGCGATGCCTGCGCCATCTTTGTTATTAGTCGCCGCTGTCAGGTAGCGACAGCAGGCCCCTGTGACAGCAAATCCCTTAGTGCTTTGAGAAGAGAGCTTTCCCTGCGAAGCATTCTGGGATATGTGTGACTCTTATGAGGCCTTTCTTTTCTCATCATACACTTAGTAGACACTTTTTCTCTTAAGACTCTCAGCCATTTTTAAAGAACTGCGATGAGAAATGTGAGCTTCAATGACTGTCTGAAACCGTAGCTCACCACACATGGGCTGCTGAAAGTGTGCATGCACAGAAAAAGATACCTAAAGGGACAATCATGTAGGACGGCCTGATGTAAACATATCACCAGAATGATTGACAATTAGGAGGAGCACTTATTTAGATGATCCACCCGGAAATAAAAGATTGTCCTAAATACCTTTAACTGGAGTATAGAGACTGTAAAACATGCCTTTAGCTGACAGAAGAAAACCACTTAGAGCAGCAATTATACTAAAATTGTAAAAAAAAAAAATATATCAACGTTTTGCATTTAAGATTAAAAAAAGAATGTTGTCTGTCAATATGTTCTATCCAGAACCCCACAAGTGGAAAAGTTGAAGTTTCACCTGGTTTAATTATGTAAAAAGTCTTCTTTAAGGAATCTTTGGCTATCCAATTATTAATAGATTAATCAAAAAAATAATTGACAGATGAATTGATTTGCAAAATAATCTTTAGCTCCAGCCCTGCACTGTGTGCTGCTTATGTTTGTTTTGTTTTTAAGTGCCAAAGCTGTGAGAGATTTTTTTTTTAATGTGTTATTTTTCTGTCTACCGTGTTTTACATATCACTTTTCTGCATAAAACTTTCCTGTTTAATTACATACGGTATTCTACATTTGCATTCCTGTCAAGCAGGTAAAAAATAACAACTAACAATTTTAGACCCCAAAGCACTTTAACTTGATATGTGTGGCCACACTGGCCACCATAGAAAAAAGTTGTGCTCCCCGTTGTTAGGTCTTATCTTTACCAGAAGAACTATAATCACTTTTAGCTAAAATAAGTACAGTTTTATGTAGGGTCTAGTATCCCCATGGGTGCTTATGTAGGACGGGGGGGGGGGGGGGGGGGGGGGGGGGGGGGGGGGGTAGTATAACCACAGAGGAGGTTGGTAGAAATTAATTTAACAAAATAATTCATTTTACATGGTAAACTAAACAGTTAAATTTAAAATAATTACACTTTAACTGTGTTTTTTTTTTGTGATTTGAAAAAAAATATTTACTTTGTTTAACTATTAAAAAGGTCTGGGGGGATGTGAAAACTTTCTTGTAAACCTAAGGGGAGCCCTTACACAATGAGTATTTGTTAACAAGTGCCAAACTATTTTTCTCCCCTGTAACTCAGCTATTTTTTTGTGTGTGTGTGTTTTTTTTTATTCTCTGGCAGTATAATTTGTCATATACTCAATAACCTGCTCATATCTTTTTCTACTTTGATAGAACAAAGGCTATTTAGACCAGTTCTAATTACAGAATATAGAATTTTTACACTATGAAAACCTTTAGTAAAATATCACAGCAAAATAATTGTTCTCCTTATAAACATGAAATCTGTTTTCCCCCTGCTGAAAAATTTATTCATATCATTTCAGCTATTATAGATGTAATAATATTGTCATATACGTTAAGTTATTGTCATTTTAACATCGACAAAAGCAAAAAAGCTTTACAATAATAAACAACAAAATGTTGAAATTTTTTCCATGTTCTGATCAGAACATTATGTAGACCTTCTCCACTTTACAGAGTTACAGAAATATAACCAGCTCACATTACCTGCTTAATTTCCCCCCTGCCTAATAATGTTTTGTGTTGGGTTTATTTTGTAGATATTATAAAGGCAGTGTAAATCTACCCACATTTTTTCAGCCAGCTAACAAGTAATGCACAGCAGCTTAGTGGAGGAGAACCAATTATATGTTCAATCTGAGAGCAACAAACTGAGTTCAACAAAGTCCAAATTTAGTTTTAACCAATCAAGTAAATCCAGCAAACATTTTCTATAAAGGTTTAAAAAAGACGTGAAATTTTATGTTTATGCTGCAGCATAAACTCTGATTTTTGGGAGGCATTTGCTGCATCTCTCTCCATGTGTAGTTGTAATGGCAGCTGTGCACCATTCGGTGTCCAAAGTGTTGCTAAGGAGCTTTTTGATGATGTTGGATGCTTTCTGCCTCGTCAGGGTGTGCGTAAGCACAGGCTGTTGACACTGACGTGGATATAAACGCAGAGCGGACAAAGCTATAGGAGGAGTGCTTGTTTAGTCCCCCAGAGTAAAGTTTGTATTGATCTGGAGGCTTTGGTGGAGGAGGATGCACAGATAAGCGCATTGGTTCAGCAAGCAAAGCAATTGTTATACCTGCTCTTCTCCCGTTCTATGGATCTCATACTTGGCCTGAGAAGTGACTTTATCCATACGTCTCCCTTCTGCTGCAGCATTGCCCTTCCATGTTGTGTATCTGCATGCCGTCAAACACAAATACACACATTTGTTCCCTCGCAGTGGTCCCCCCCACTGCTTCCTCCGTCTGTGTCTGCCACCATCAGACAGGGAGAATGATAATATCTGCTCCAACGCCCTCTGCTCCTGTTCTGGTCTTTATTGTCCTGTTTGAGGTTTTATAGGCTACACAATTTCTTTCCCGCACTATTAAACTTTACATTTCCAAAATGAAGCTAAATCTGTTCCTTTTTTCATGCTTTTTTATGTGGTTTATTATCTGTATTCAGTTAGTGACTGGCCACGTCACTCTGCTCCCTGAGTGTGAGCAGAACAGAGGGCTGCATGCATCATCCTTGCATCATCCTGCAGTATGTTTGAGGGAGACGCTAGAAACTCCTCTGTCGCCGGGTGAAGGCAAAGCTGCACAGAAAGCTGCTGCAGTTTGAATATTAGCATGTGGCTCAGACATGACTGCCATGACTGTGCTGGTACATGTGTGAAAAAGTGAGAAACAAGGACAGGCTCTGTGAAAGGAGGAGCCTTCCTTCTATTGGGCTCTCCCATTGATCAGTGGTAAGCCCCACTTGCCTGTAAAATGCAGTGTGATTGGCTGCTGCTTTGCATTACACACCGCAGCTTTAGTTGTGATGAATTACCCTGTCTCATCTTTTCATATCTCTTTGGTAATAGAATAAGCAGGAATTTCCCACATCAAGGACACTATTTTCAACCCTGTTACATTTATGTCCAGTTTTTGCAGGGCAGAAAGTAAAGGAGTTGAGGTGACGTTTCTGTCCTGCCTACAACCTCCATGCATCCTCTCTCTCCAGCCGCTCTCTCTCTCACTATCTCTCCTCTCTGTATCACTTAATCAAGGCATAGCTTGCCCTTTCCTGTTCATTGCTTCCTCCTTCCTTCTTCTCCTGCAGCGTGCTCCTCCTTCGTTAAAATAGAATGTAGCAGTTTCCAGCCAAACAGTTGCCGTTTTATGAATGCTTTTTTTCTTTGTTTCTGCGATCCACAGTGAGACAGCAAGCAAGACATGCAGCAGAGAGGTCAGTAAAGAGGATGACAACATAACGAACTGAGACAGAGGGATGAGAAGTCGATTCAAGTAAGAAGAGGAAGCAGGACTCCAAAGTGCCTACAGTACGGTTTTGTCCTACAGCAGGAGAGATTGTTCGGTTCGTTTGGCCTTGAATTGAGGCTATATTTTGTCCTGACAGCCACAAAGTCATCCATCCCACATTGGTGAGCTATAGTCCCCACATACCCGAAGCTGAGCTGCAGCTTCGTCTCTTCATTACAAGGACATTACTGGTGTAAGGTTCTGTTTCTTTCCCTGTCAGAGAACTACAGTAGAGCTGCAGTGACTTCCTCTCCTCTAATCATGTCGACATGAATATAAAAGAGACCATTAGTGAATTTCAGTCTATAGACATATCTGGGAGGACTAAAGTGATGCTTTTTGAACAGTGCTTTTTCTTTCTCTTGAGACGGAGCTGGTCTCTGCTCATAGTTAACATCTGTTATCTCAGCCAGTGAAACTTCAGCTGACAGTTTTCCCAGGAAGAGCTAGTAAACATCCCCCAAAACACATCAGTCAAAAAGGAACTTGCCACCTATTTGCTCTGAAGGACAAATATTTTTATTTTTTTTCCATGGGGATTTTTTGTTTGCTTTTGAATCACTATTAGTCAGCCCTGCTCGCATTAGACATTTTTTTTCCATCCACTTGCTCCCACCACTGCTCAGTGTCTGTGAGCGTCTCAGATGGCTGTCAGCATGACCATGGGGCGAGACACCAAATGGCTGACCTTGGAAGTGTGTCGCGAGTACCAGAGAGGCACCTGCTCACGGTCTGATTCCGAGTGTAAGTTTGCACATCCCTCCCGGAGCTGCCATGTGGAGAACGGCAGAGTCATCGCCTGCTTTGATTCGCTCAAGGTAAGAACGCAGCACACATCACACTCATCAGCTCCTGCCGCATAACAGCTTGTTTGGTCCCTAAATCCTCTGTCAGACATGTCGGCCTTTTTCATGGGCTTTTGATCAGGTGGAAAGTTTATACCACAGAAAGCAGATATTAGAACCTTTTTCACACTCTCTGAAATTAAATCAGAAAACGTTTTTATTTCAAAATGCATGATTATGAAAGTTAGATCCATAAACTGAATGCTGAAGTGAGAGACATACTATTTTCTTAACTGGCTTCTTTCAAGAAATCCTGAATTGTCTCACTTTAATTTACTGGAATTTTTGCCTTTTCCGTCCTGACAGAACCGGTGTTACCTTCTGATGGACACTCAAAAACTTTGTCCGTGTTGTCCTTAATCCACCTTTGTTGATATTCCCGGTAGATATTTTTACATTGACACGAGTAGTAAGAATAAAGAGACAATTTGATTAAAAGTATGACGCTTAAATGTGCAGATAGGAATATTCTGATTAGATTGGCTTCAAACGAAATATAATTTTATTCTGTTCAAGAGGGTTAGTTGGTACTGATTGTCAATTTGAATGATGTTCTTGAACACTTGTTCGGATCATGTATTCTGATGGTGGACACCTGTGCAGACTTTGCAGTGTGGCCTGTGTTTAACTGCAATTTTTCTGGTATAGAAACAAGTGTTGATGCTTTAACCACTCTCAGAACATAACATTCTGGACGATCAGAACCAAAGACTTCTAAAGTTGTTTTTTCTTTTCTGATTTATTCTCCTAATTTTTTTTTTTAAGGAAAACTGATAACAGTGCATCTCTGAGTTCTTCTGATTAAAGAGCTCTTTATGTAAGAATAGGTCATGAAGGAAACATTTTAATGCTCGTATAAACGCCATATTTGGATTTATTCATGTTAATCTGATAATGACCTTTGTGAATGTGAACACAACCCGTTTCACAGACCGTTTGAAGGAACCAGTTTGCAGCCAAGCCTAAACTTCCTGGTTGATGTGAAGTTCACCAGTGCCTCCTACAGCAAAACTTCCACACGACACTTCAATTTAAGCCTCATCATCTTCATTTCTTTCTCAGAAAAGATGAAGGTCTTTGTCAAATTGTGCTCTGACAAACCATAATCTCTCTAAAAATAAGTGAACGTATAAGTATGAATGTGCTGGTCTGTAGGTAGCTGTAGCTACTTAAAGATTCTCCTAAGGGCACAGAGGGCGTTACGTCATATCAGCGATTTTTTTTTTTTGTCAAAGTCATACCCCTGGCAGCTTGAATTCAAACACAACTGTTGTTCAAATATATGAACCCAAATTAAAGAAACTAAAGAGGCTGGTGTAACCAAAGAAAGCACATTTATTCACAAAGTTGCAAAGCTTTTGCTAGAGAATAAAGAAATTTGGACCGAATTGAATGGACTTAAGTATCCTGCAACAGGAAAGTGGAGAATAATTTGTATTTGTGTTTTTATTTCCAATTGTCAAATCCATTCCCTTAAAACCTTCTATAAAGAGCCATCACTTTCTACAGTTGTTTCTACATTTGACTTAAATAGTGTGGACTGCCCTACAAGAGGCTTACAAAGCCATCACCATCTGAGTTTATGTATCCTTATGTTAGAAAAAGTAAAATAAACTATTCTGCCGTTCGTGAAAATAATATCACTGGACGTCCCATACGATTTATTACATAACATTTCAATTTGGTAACCGAACTGTAGTTTTTTCTTTATACAGTGTATATTAATAAAGTCTGGGTTTAGCTGCACTTATTCTTTCAGATGATTAGATAAAAGCATGATTACAGATACAAACAAATTAAGGTTTCATACTGTGCTCTTCAGAAGGAAATAAATTTTCATTTATATATCAGATGCCTTACGATGGGTGTTATTTATGAAATGACTGGTAAAAATCAGTTTGTCTTGGAAAATATTCATGTTCGTTCTATTGCTTTTACTCCAATTTATCCTTACTTTAGTATTTCATTAATATTTAAGTTATTTTTTTTGTCTTTTATCCAAAGATATATTTGGAGAAACCATGTAAATCAAAGAATGGAGCTTGAATTGTGATGTTTGCTGTTGTAACACAGTGATTTTAAAAGGAGTGTGTCCCCTTTAAGACTTAAGAATCTGATCTCCAGGAAGAAGATCAGATTCAAAAGTGGCTTTTATTAATTTCATTTAAGAGAACAGAATATGCAAAGTAGTTATTTTACAATAATCATTTGTGATTTTGCTGTGTTTCATCTGCAAAATGATTTATGGTATAATGTAATATGATTCATGGAAGCTGTATTAATACTGTTGTTATGGTTAAAAATAAAAACAAAATCCTATAGTGACAATGGCTTCCTGAAAGGGCTTTATTGATTTGCTACTACAGTTCTCAATAGGGACTTCAAAACCTTATTGTTTTAGTTTGTCTTCTTTTGCCTCCTCCAAATATAAATTTCAGAATGACCAGAAAAGCTAAATGTATTATTATTATTATCATACATTATTATAGTTTTACTCTGTCTCCAAAAACAAAATAAAGGCGAAAAAAAAAACATAATGTGTGCCACAGTTACATTCAAAGTAATACCAACTCTTTTAATTCGCCAAAAGGGTGGCTTTTTCAGCTTGCAAGCTACTTATAAATGTCCATGTAACTTTAAACTAACTGCAATGAAAATGAAAAAAAAACATCTACATTTATTTATAAACATATTGATTCATATTATTACTCTTTATTATTTTGCTCTTTTCTGCAGGTCTAAAAAGAGAGACACTAACTTCTGAAAAATGCTGATAAGATCGGACACATATAATTTATCTAAACATAACCTAAGATTTGTTTTGTCCCACGGTGGGGAATTCTAAAAACAAAAAAAGAAAATTCTTCTCTCGATCAGATAACTAAGCACTGGTAAGTCACATGTCAGGGAGCTAGACTGACCAATGCAAAGAGAGCCAAATCAGTGACTTATTGTAAAATCGAATAGAATTTAACTTTATTGTCATGTATGTACAAAGCAATGAAATTCACTCTGCATTTAACCCATCCCCTTGGGGAGCAGTGGGCTGTGTGGTGTTAAGGGTCTTGCTCAGGGACCCAGTGTGTCAATCCGTGGGAGTGGGGCATGAACTCAGAACCTCAGGAACACAAGAAAAATACCCTAACCAGTAGGCCACCACTCCCCCAACCCCCCACCGACTTTCATCAACATGTATTTTTTAAGCAACTCTTCAAAACAGAGGATCTGCTGCCTTTGTATGCCTGCATGAATCCATATTAAACAATTCAAATAAGGTTTTTTTTTTTTGTCCTGAACTTGTTCTAATGCTTTGTGTTGAATAGAATTATGTTGTGTTCCATTATCCTACAATAGTCCATTATCCTACTAAGTACCTTGTTTCTTCTTCCACCACCGAAGGTATCAGCTGAATTGAGGAAATCCTCAATCCCTTCCAGCTCCCCACTGCCACTAAAAACAGTTTTTGCAAAGCACTGCCTCCAGAGGCACAGGACAGATTGAAAGAATTGCTTTTAGGCCAACTGATAGTTTTTCTCCATGGCCTCCTAAGGCTGAGTTTTTGCCTCCTCAACCTCCTTAACTACAGCAGCACACTTGGCCTCGTAATACCTACTTTCTGCATGAGGAGTCCCACAGGCCAGCCAGATTCTATAGGACATCTTCAGCTTTAGAGCATCCCTTTCTGTCAGTGTGCACCACCAAGTTGCTGCCACGACAGGCATTGCAGACATCATTGCCACAGCTATGGGGACTGCATCAACAATGGAGGCAGAAAACATGGTTAACTCAGGCTCCATGTCTCCACCCTCCCCCAGAATCTGGAAGAAGCTCTCTCGGAGGTGGGAGTTGAACACATACCTGACCGAGGGCTCCACCAGACGTTCCCAGCAGACCCTCACTACTCTTGGGCATGCCGAGTCTGTCTTGCTTCCTCCTTTTCCAGCGCATCCAGCTCTGCACTTGGTAGTGTTCGATGGAGAACTCTGCCCCGCTTTTCACCTGAGTGTCCAAGACGTGCAATCGAAGGTTAAAAGGATGACTAGGGTGTTCAGGTGCCAAGTGAATCGATGGACATCCTTACATGTCCATCAATGGGCACTAAAGGCATTTTAGTTGCCGTGTAGAATAATAGAATCCCTGGGAGGGGTGCTATCCAACCCCCACCCCCCACCCCCAGGGATACCAAGAGGGGCTGGTACTCTGTACCGATGTTTGGCCCAGTCAGAGACCTCCCCCCTACCTAAAGGCTGGGCTAAAATTTAACATGAGACAGATAAGCTTGGGGAAGACAAGCAGACCCACCTCAGTCCACCTCCCAGGGTGGAATAGAGTTCAGCCTCTCTCAAGGAGCTGGGTTCCAGAGCCTAGGCTAGGTGTGGAGGAGAGCCCAACTATTTCTAGCCGGTGAACTGTCAGATCAGCATACCCACTCACACCAGCATACCTGTAGTATAACGCCTGCGTGCGCATGCACAAAGGGACATTTAAACAACTTCTGTTACATTTTCAGATCAGCCAGTCAAGATCAGTATACACTTAACCATTGTATGACAATCTGACAGGTTAGCTGCTACGTCAGAGTGTAAAGTAGTGAACATAGCGAGAATGTCTGTTTTTAAAGCAGTTTAGCTTAACTCTGTCTACCTCAGACCAAAACATTTTGTTTATTACATCACACATAAATAAACCAGCCTACTTGACTTTCGAATGCTTTTCTGGTAAGTTTGTGTGCTTACATTCAACTACATCGTTTGGTTTATCATATCACGCATAAATTAGCCTAGCCTAGCCTTGACTTAGGTATGCTGGTCTGACGGGGTATGCTGATTGGACCTGTATCGCTACACCTCCTATGCAAGCTCAGTTTTAGCTTTAGTGTCTGTGAACCAGGTCGCCTCCCCCACTGACTGCTGTGCGTCCACCTCCAACTGCTACCCAATCCGCATGTTTCCCCCTGCAGGCGGTGGGGCCAC